CCGACAAATAAAATCATATATTCAGGTACAAAACATGATGTTTTTAGATACAAATATGTTGTGAAATAATTACTACAGTCTTAACTAATTAGTACATCCATCAGTTCGCATACTTACAGCAATTTTTAATTTCATCTGTTTAAATATTTTATACTGCCCAAGTCAAAGAGAAAAATGTGCTCAGCACCTCACATCCGGACAGACTGACCTAAGTGAACATGATTTTTTGATATCCATATGTATAAATGCACCTTTGAATATAAAAAAATTGGCATGCCCTATTCACTGTTTCTTAATGCTGTTTCATTTAATAGAGTATAGTGGGCACATTTTCATCTTAATAAATTCATGTCAATACCATTATAACTTAATGATATAATAACTCTTCTTTCCTTCCCCAAAGAATCTCCCTTACACCCCTTTCCTTGCCCCCCTTATTTGCTCACTGTTATCATTTTTTAGATTCCACATATCAAGGAAAATATATGATACTTGTCTTTCTGAGTCTGGCTTATTTTGTGAAATATAATGGTCTCCAGTTCCATCCATTTTCCTGCAAAGGACATAATTTTAATTTTCTTTACTGCTGAATAATACTCCACATTTTCTTTACCATTCATCCTTTAATGGGGACCTAGGCTGGTTCCATATGTTGGCTGTACTGACTTTAATTCATTTGTGTGTATACCAAGGAATGATAATAGCTGCATCATATACCCATTCAATTTTAGTGTTTTGAGGAACCTCCATTCTGATTTCCATAGTAGCTATATTTACATTTCCACCAGCAGTGTAGAAGGGTTCCTTTGCCCTTGCATCCTAGCCAGTATTTATTTATTTTTTTTTGATGACAGAATCTCAATATAGTTTTAATTTGCATTTCCCTGATGGCTAAAGATGTTGAACTTTTTATATATATTTACTGGTCATTTGTATTTCTTTTTTCCATTAAGTTTATTGGTACATTTTAGGTACACAATACAGTTACATTCATCATTGGGATCTTGCACCTTTACATGATATATCTTGGTTCTTATTTTTCCCCCTTCCCCTGCCCTCCCTTCACCCCCTCCACCCTTCCCTATTTACAAAGACTTTGTTTCCATTTTTTCCTTTTCTCATATTTTTTCTTTTCTCTTCTTTCTTTTTCCCTCATTTGTACTTCTTTTAAGAAGCATCTGTTCAATTCATTTGGCCATTAATTGACTGGACATTTTGATGTTTTGGGTGTTAAATTTTTTGAGTTCTTTATATATTCTGGATATTAACCCTCCATTGAAAGAGTAGCTGGCAAAGACTTTCTCCCATTCTGTAGGCTGTCTCTTCACTGTGTTGGTTGTTTCCCTTGCTATGCAGAAGAGTTTTAAGTTAATGCAGTCCCATTTGTTGCTTCTTCCTATGATTTCCTGTGATGATCGAGTCCTACTCAAGAGGACTTTGGCTGTGCATATGGGTTCAAATATTTCCCCTATGTTTTCTAGCAGTTTCAAAGTTTCAGGTTTATGCCTTAAGTCTTTGATCCATTTTGAATTAATTTTTTTTTCATTTACAAGGTAAGAGATAGGGATGCAGTTTCAGTCTTCTCCATATGGATATGCAGTTTTCCAGCACCATTTGTTAAAGAGGCTAACATAAACTTTGCCTCTTTGGAATCAGATGGCAGTAGTTGTGTGGGTTTGTTTCTATGTTCTCTACTCTATTCCCATTGGTCTCTGTCTATTTTTGTGTCAGTCTCATGCTGCCTTTTTTTTTTTTTTTGGTACCAGGAATCCCCAGTCCTCATGCTGGTTTTGTTATTATGGTTTTGTAGTATCATTTGAAACTACGTATGGTATTGTGATGCCTCCGGGTTTGCTCTTTTTGCTTAGGATTGCTTTGGCTATTCTGAGACTTTTGTGTTTTCATATAAGTTTTAGAATTATTTTTCCTAATTCTATGAAGAATGTCACTGGCATTTTGCTGGAGACTGCGTTGAAATCTGTAGGTCACTTTAAGTAATATTGCCATTTTAATAATATTAGTTCTTGTGGTCCATGAACATGAGAGGTCTTTCAATCTCCTGGTGTCTTCAATATCTTTTTTCACTATTCTGCAATTTTCAGTGTGGAGGTCTTTCACCTCCTTGACTAGGCTCATTCATATATATAGTATATAACTACACTATATATAGGCCTGCTGCCTATTTTGTTATGCTGTTTTATCTAGCCTAAACTGAGCCAGGGAGAGTCTGCCCAATGACTATGAACTGTCTGAGGTAGATAGAACCTGGCCAGGTTCCACCCAGAGTGCTTGTGAGGCAGAGAAACTGGCCTGCAGAGTGAGAAAGAAAATGTTTAGAGAGTAAGAAAACCCTAACAGCTTCCCAGACTTGGTTCCCAGCTTCGTGAAATCCTCCTTTCTGTTGCCACCCTTCCTCTCAGCTTCTAAAAAAACCTTCCCCTCTTTCATCAGAAGGAAAATGAGTATTCACGAGGAGACTGAGGCCCAGAGGGGGTCTCCCCAACTTTGCATTAGAGCCAGCTAATCAGTAAGTATCCCCTCGGTCCTCACTGCACTGATGACCAACAGTGCACTGATGGCATCAGAATCTAGCAGCTCAGGAGGTATCACTAGAAAATAAATTTGTTCTCCCACTTGTTCTCCCCCTTCAGTGAATCCTACTTTACTACTTCCTGTTAGAAGGCTTTGGAGGCACTCTGAGTTGTCAAAATAGCACAACTTTTCTTACGGTTAATTATTGATTGAAATGATTATTTAAAAAATGTTAGACTGGTGAGACACTGAAAGTGTAAATAAGGATTAAAATGATTAAAATGAATAATTGATAATTTGAAATAGTAAAAGGTCCAAAGGTGTAGGAATGGTGGGAGGGGAAGGGGAAAGGGAAGAAGGGAAAGGGAAAACTATGAGAAAAGAAAAAAATTGGAAATGAAATCTATGTAAATGGGGAGGAAATATTATGAGAAAAGAAAATAAAAGGAAACAAAGTCTATGTAAATAGGGAAGGGTGGAGGGGGTGAAGGGCGCACAGTTAATGGGGGAAAAATAAGAACCAAGATACATCATGTACAGGTACAAGCACCCAATGATAAATGTAAACATATTGTATACCTAAAATGTACCAATAAAAGAAGCTTTTAAAAAATGTTAGACTGGTGTAATTCTACTTGGTTAATTATCTGTGGTTGGTCTTGTGTAGTCAATAATCTGGTAGCAAATGCTTAAATTCCCTTGGAGTTGGCACTTTCATTATTGAAGTAAAAGACGGATCACAGGAAATATCAACCATGAAAAATGCTCAATTAGAATACACTGTCCACTGCTTTCTTCCTGTGGAAGTTTGATGGACCTACTTTAATACACTCTAGTTGACAGTTGGCTTCATTGTTTGAACATCATTTTGTTGTTGCTTTATTTTTTTGAGACAGTGTCTATGTAGTTCAGGCTGGCTCTAAAGTCACTATATACCCAAGGCTGGCCTCAAACTCAAAGTGATTCTCTTGCCTTAGCTTCTCAAAGGCTGGGATTACAGGCATGCACCACCACACCTGGTTTGAACATCATTCTGATGAGGCTGAAGTTGTAGATGGTGGCTCTGAAGAATGCTAGTGTGTCATCCTGAGTCTTTGACAACCCTATCCCTATAATCTGCACTCTTTAGAAGAGAAATGAGCCACAAAGACATCACCACTCCAAGCACATGACTTTGCAGTTTGGTACAAAGACTGGTGTTTTATTTCACCATTTAGTTAATACTGCAAACATCTTGTTTATTCCAGGTACTTGGGGGAAGAACAGTAAGTTCAAAGGAAAATAACATCTAACTAATAATGGTAGGAATATGACTTGTCCATTTAGATGACATACAGAGAAGGGATGGAAGCTGAAAATAAACAATATGAAGTAATACAGAATTGTGAGCGGGAAGGATATGTTCCTCAGTCCACACACAAATAGAGGTTTATGGAAACAGGAAAGAGCTGCAGCAAGGTAGCTGCTCAGAAAGTATAGCAGCAGCCTGACAGTTTTGTCCTGGCTGAATTCAGACAATCAAATACTGCCAATGCTGTGTCTACCAAAAAAACCCCCCAAAACAAAAAAACAAAAAACAAAAGAAAAAAGCAGATAACTAAGATTCTTAGGGTTAATGTCATTTGCTGTTTAAGAAAATGATCTCCCTTAGGTTTTTGGAGTTGGTCGTTTCAATCCTTGAAAACCTGGAGGTCTGGGCAGGGGTAGAGTTATGTTGAATAACTATTTTTGACTTTCAAGCACAGACCTCATAGCGACACAGACAGACATGGGCACCAGGTGCTCAGTGACTCCGTCAGTCTCCTGTTTTGTGTGGTTCAGCTCAAATGACTTTCCCTTTACTTGTTCTGAATTGCTACACAAACACAAGGTGCAACTGCTCAGGCTTCTATTTAAGAACTATGGGTGTACTTTACCTGCACTCAGCATCCACTCCATTCGGGATTCTACCCAGGAACAGCAACGGTGCTTCTTTGAGCCTTTAGTTTGGGCCTAATTTTCCCACACTTTTCTACCCTTTGGCATTTTTGAATAAAGATCAACTTACGATTTTTGTCCCTTTTTAGAACCCTCCAAAAGTGAGAGTTTACAAATTTCCAAATCCAGAAAATCCAGCCCCCAGAGTGCTCCCCACCACGAGTAAGCTGCTGCAGTCCACACTGGCTCAAAAAGAACTCGGGGGTAGCGGGCTGGGGCCGCAGGTTGCTTACCTTCAAGGGAGCGAGCTGTTACGGAAGATGGACTTTTGGGACAACATCGGCGGAGCACTCTCACAGATACTGGCTTATCTATAATTGCTCCGATTTTATAAAAGGAAAAACTATAGTAGTAGTAAAGCAAATTAGTGGGCAGGTGGTAAAACTTACTGTCAGTACTTGTTAGGGATTGTGTAAACCCCTCCCTCTTCCGCAGCTGTTCCTCAGCTCTTCCAGCAGGTGTCACTGTAACCACAGAACAAACATTCCACAGCATGGTATGTAACTTTTATTTTTCTAGCATAATAATTTAAAGTATTTACACACTGCACACTCACTGTTGTACACAGAATCTTATTCATATATCTATGGACCACATCGAAAGGTTTCTTTGTAAAGACCCCATACACTGGGCTGGGCGGGGGGGCGGTGGCTTCCAAGCACGAGAGGACAAAAATGTTGAGTCTTTCAGACAGCCATGTGGAGCATCTGTGAAAACCAGTGTTTCTCCCCAAGTTTAAGCTCCCCCAGGAGACCCGTGAACAGGTACAGCCTATCCACATGTTGGTATGACCTGAAAGTCTCGATGGACTTTATGAACCAACATGTGCAAGCAGCATTCTCTCTAGAAACCCTCAAGAAAATAAATCTTCCTAGACATACAAGCATCATCTGGTGATACTTGCACTGTGTTTGTAAAGATTTTACAGGGACACTGATTAAAAACGGAGAGTAAGGGAACACACTGGTACCAATACTAGCGACACTGGGTGTTTTAAGCGTCCTTTCCAGCTAACTGACGTGGCAAAACCACCGGGTTTTTTCCCAACTTAGTAGAATAGCCGTTTTGTTTTCCCTGAAAAGGACGAAGGTACATTAATCATACACGCTCTAAACCCACATACTGTAGAAACTTCTATTATTGCTTTGACTTCACTTTTATACTATTTGCACAAAAATAGTGGTCAAAAGTATCTTTAGTATTGTTTCTTCCATGTTCTACTCAATTACAAAATTACAATAGTTTCTGAAATTGGCACACGGCTCGAGATGAACAGAAGCAGCCATGGCTCAGAGGGGATGGTAGGTAGGTACCTAGTCCAGCTTGTACAACAGGATGACAGAATAAGGTTTCATCCTGGAGTTGAATTCCTGAAAGTAGCAGGGGGCCTTCATTATTGACCTACGCTGCCCAGGATTATTCTTTCATACACCAGAAGCAGAGAGGTTTGCCACTCCTGAATGAACGCACAACTGAACCCTATAACTGGTTGGTACCTCAGTGCATTAACAACTTCACAAAATGACATCTTTCGTTGCCAGTCTGGGTCTCTGGCAGAGCCACTGGTCAGTAGGACATAGTAAAAGCTACCATGTGGCCAACTAAAACTAAGCATAAGCTTGGCCTAAATTACAATGGTATTTCAACTTTATCTTTTATTCTCAATTATTTAAACTTGAATTATTAAAGTACAAGTTATCAGTTCTTAGAACCAAAATTTATATTGAATATAATATAACCTGATCTATCTTGGATCTAACTTTCTCCATTACTATTCTTGCCTTTTGTTGCAGCTGTTTTTCCTTTTCCAAAGGCTACCAAGAATGGATTGGAAGAAGCAAGGAGAGAGATCACTTTTATTATAGAGACTTCACCAAGTTACACGAGCAATTACTATTCAACTACAGGTGTTAAGAGGGAGAGTATCTGAATTAAAAGAGAGTACTTGGGCAGCACAACATTCAGTGAATATTTGGTCTCATCAGCAGCCACTGTCAAGCGTATACTGAGTCAGGCCAATGAAGCTCTTCCGCCATTAACACCCTACTCCCTTTCATTATGCATAAAGTCACAGTGAGAACTGTGAAGACCAGGGAGTGGAGGGCAGGGAAGAATGGAGAATTTCTGTGGTAGGACCTGGGTCTCATTATCAAAGACTGACTCTTAACTCTCGGATTCATTAGGTGAGGCTGAGGACAGTCAACTGTGGTGAGACAGGGAGTTGTTTCTGGGTCCAAAGAGCCAAGAAAGAGAAAGCTAAGAACGTGGGCTTCCAGAAATTACACAAAGAACAGGTCATGATTATTACTGTTTGTGGTTTCATGTTTTAATGAACTGAGTTAAAAGAGAAAACTTACAACTTAAACTGGGGCATGGGATGAGAAAAAGCAGAGCTACTAAAATCTAGCAAGATGCCTGGTATTTATCTATGAAGCTGCCATCACTAGACCCCTTTTACCTCCAGAAAGCAGTTTTCTCAGGTCCAACCTAGCACACCAGGTGTTCAAATATGGCAACCGGAAGCAGGGGTGCTAAGAACTGTAGCAATACTCTTCACCTTCCAAAGAAGTGACAGCTATTATTAACGAGAGGGCTGATTATTTAGATCAGTGTGCAGGAGAGTTGAAAGAGCCTGTAAGGGAGGAAGGAGCTGTCTTTTCAAATTGAGTGAAGGCAGGAAGATGCGTGAGGGCATACTCCCAAGCAAAGAGGCAGCCCCACCAGGGTGTGGCCAGTGAAAACTGCACACTGTGGCAAGTGGGAAAGGGCAGGAAGGGACAGCCAAGAATAGCTACTACTGGTCACTTTCGAGGAGAACATTGAGTATGGTGTCTGTGTATATGCACTATACATATTAACCAGGTACACACATAAATATTTAATATATAAAAAATAAAGTGCTTTCTAACAGGTCCCCAGCAGGGACGTTATAAAACATTTCACAAAACTGCAAAACAAAATTGATACAATCAAAGAACACTACATCCAATGCATGTGAAAACAGCCAAGCACAATATGTACAATCTGGTGGTAACCCAGGACAAACATCCTGTCATATACATGGTATATACATATATACTCTTTTTACTCAATATATTATGACAATATATATTTTAAAATTTTGTTATAGACAAAAAAATTAAAAACAAAACAAAACAAAAACAAAAGACAAGCCCTAGAAAAACACAGCAAGGATCAAGGCCGCGAGTCCCAGGCTGAGGGCCAGACTGCCGTCCCCTCTCGGAGGCCAGGCTCCACTGCTGGGGAAGATGTGCCAGCGCTCCTTCCTTGGGTGCAGTGCCTCCACGTCGTCCAAGGCACTGTGGGCTGCAGCAGTGAAATTGGCATCACCAGTGGTGAGCAGGTCGAAGACACAGGAGTGGAAGTAGATGTCCTTCACTGGCATCTTCTCGTGGCACTGAGTGTTGGCAGCTGCCAGTGTGTAGCCCGGCCAGGCCTGCACCGAGGAGGTGCGAGGCAGGCTGTGCCCCAGGATGGCAGACACCTGGCCCTGTGTGTCGTCGATGCGCTCGCTCAAGGGGCAGCCATTCACACACAGCTGCAGGTCCTGGCTTTCCTCGTAGGACATGGCCAGCTCCTCAGGCATGCGGATGGCGAGGGTCAGGTAGCGACCCAGCTGCCGCACGAACACTGTTGTGCCTATGTAGTGAGCGTGCATCTCCACACAGCGGCCGCTCTCCCTTTCCACGATGCGCAGGCTCTTGGCGTCACCGTCCCCGCCGCTGGTGGTGCCATCCACAAAAGCAGCTGGCAGGTCATCTGCCACGGCTTGGTACACTTTCTGATCTGTACACTCATGGTGCGCTTTGAAGATGATCGTGACCTGTGGGAAGCAACGCGACCACAGCTTAACACAAGGGCAAGGGAGTAGAGCAGTGGAGCAGAACGGCTTGGGACAGACTCCAGACTCACCATGTCTTGCCCACAAATGAGCGGTAAAAATAAAGTACCATGCACTAGGAATTAAAATTTAATATAATCCCAGGGAATGTGCATTAAAAGAACTTTCTTAACTTACTTAAGACGGAGAACAGTGTTCTTCTTGGGAAAAAGGCAATTTTATTGATAGTGTACATCTGTGTTCTTCCAAAAATGGAAAAGGGAAGGTACAGCTCCGAAACAAAAACAAAAGTTCCTTTCTAAGTTTCTATCTAGAAACTTGTAGGGGCTTAATTAGTAATATATCTATTAGAACTTTGCTTTCTGAAAAGATTCTTCATTGGACCATCAGCATATATTCCACGACTCTCACTACAAACGTAATGTAAATGCTGAGAGACAAAGCAAAGTCCAGAGGGAACCCCAGCAACAGCTACCAGTCATGTGCCTCAGGAAAGATCTAAATCTTCACCAAATGTTACACATGACTGGCTATTCCGGCAGGGAAAACAAGTACAGCTCCCAAGCACTGGCAAAGAGGTATCTACCCCAACCTAGTTACAGCACACATTTTCACACCACACCACTCCACACCACAGTCCTTCAGCTTCTTAGACCTTTTCCCAGGCAACTCTCAATTCTCCAGTCCAGCACACACACAGTTCAGGGAGAAAAAAATACATAAATAAATATAAATATAAATAATATAAATATAAATGTAAATATAAATATAAAAGCCTCCCTTTGGTAAACCCATTTTCTCCCTGTAAAATCTTTTAATTAGAGCACACACACACACACACACACACGCACGCACGCACCGTATGTATCAGTCAATCTATCTACCTCCATCCTGAACCTTCAAACAATGTGGCCTCTGACATACGGTGCAAGTGGAAGAAGAAAGGTAACTATGAAGAGATGGGGTTCTGTCCTGCATAAGATAGGAAAGCTGCTGCAAAGAAAAAAGGGCCACATTTTAAGATCTGTATAACTGTCAATAACTCAGGTATAACAGCTTATTCTTTCTTTCCTTTTGAGAAAAAAAAAAAAAAGTATCAGGTGACTTCAGTCAAGGAAGAGGGCAGACAAGCCAAGCACTCTGAGAGCTGCTCTGGACAAAGGGAACCTTCCAATTGCAAGGAAACTAATCAAAACAACAGACCCTTGTTAGAAGGCCAGAAAATGGCCCCAAGCCCTCACCCTAACCTCAAGTTTACGCCTGAAGTTTCCCCACCTCAGCCACCTTTTGCTCACGTTACTTAATTCCGCGGGTTCCCACTCGTGTTACCTTACTGGCATTTTCCAGCCATTTCATTTTACTGCAGCCAGTTATTAAGCCAGATCTGAACCAGCTGCACTACAGCAACTGGTTAAATTCATATCTGTTGTTTGCAGCTGCAACTAAAATCAGACAATGTGCTATGAAAATGCTGGGCTTTCTCCCCTCCTAATTACCTAGAGCCACAATTTGATTTCACTACCAGGCTTCTCACATTTCAACACCCTCTTAACAACCCGAATGAGGTATACCAGAGATGATTTCAGGAAACGCACTGTGCATCCAAGCAGAGGGCCTTCCAGAGTGAGTGGGAGTTCTGAGCTAGATATCTAATAGCACCATAAAAGAGATTTATTTGGTGGCTCTAACATCAGTTTGACAAGTGCTTTTTTAAGGCATGCTAGGATTCCTTGGAGGTGAAAGATCAATTCAAGTAAATTCTGAGCCTGAAAAGGCTGAAAGTTAACAATACAGATGGCTAAAATAAGCCAGTAATAGACTTTTTGTATAATCACTATTCATTTTCAACTATAACATTCACACTCAAGGATTAAACAAACTTCCACAACAGCTATGTAATTTGTTTTTCCAGACTAACAAACCTCAAGTGTAAGACAACTTGGCATTATATGCAAGAACTATGTATCTTTTTGTTCACATTATGAAAAGCAAAGAGGAACTACTTTTGTTAAGACAAAAAAGTGGAAGTATCTAATTCCAAGCAAGTTTCCAAAAAGGCAAGTAAGGGTCAATATTAGGATGAATACAATAGTTCCATATGTCCCACAAGTTTGTTTTTTCATTAAGCACATCAATTCCAACTCAAAACTCAGGAGTCATTTCAAACATGATGCATGTTCTCTTCCTCATTATGACTATGACACTCACTCCACATATCTAGATCAATAAAAGTTTGATTTTCTTAGTATGTACACCTATAAAATATTCCCATCTCACAGATTTTTGTCTATTCTATTTGCTAGAAGTGGTTTTATTTATGAGAAAATTATGGTGATATTGCTCTTTCTTTCCCCTGTGAGGTGAGATAATTCTGAAGTGATGAACTGATCCTAAAGCATGAGTGAGATTTCCTGAGAGGTCCTCTGGAGTTTAAATCCATATTTAATAGGTACTCAGATATATAATCAATGTAAATGTAGAAAACTGGGTAGTCCCATGGCTTGAGCTTTGGAATGCAATTCACTCCTCAGAACCATTTTAACACGATCTCTTAAAAAGCAAGTACTCAGCTGTGAAGGGCAACAAATTCATTTTCAGATTGTCTTCCTCTTCTGTAAAGTAAAATTTCTTCATCCTTAATAATTCTTCCTTCAAAGATATTCGCAATTTAATTAAGAGTTTTTAGAAATTCCAAAGTTTTGATGGGGATATAGCTCAGTGGTATAGCACTTGCCTAGCATGTGGAAGGTCCTAGGTTTGATCCCTAGAGTAACAGGAGAAAAAAAAAAAATCTCTATCAAATAAATCTCAGCTTAAAAATAGAATTCAAAATTGTGTTCAAAAGCTTTCACACAGCATCAGAAGCACCAGACATGCTTCCTCCCCCCGCCTCCACAAACTGATTCATCTGCTGCAGTAACTCACTTTGGCACATTTGCTCTATGCCAGGCCATGTATTATTGATGCATGGCATTTCTGTGCATTTAAAACATTGATGTCTTTTGTTAAGCCTCTCCCATCTAGTCCCTCTCAACCCACCTTAGACAAACTACTCTAGTTCTCCTCATTCATTTTTAATGTTTCACTCCCTAAGATCTTTACCACCCACAAGGTCTATTAGGAAGAGAAAGATAGCAGCTACAAATCAACCCGTCCACACCTAAAAGGAATCAAGAACCTAAGATGGCTTGTTGTGAAGTATAAAAATTAGTAAGAGCTACCTGCCTCTCCTTTTCACTAGGAAAAAACCCCCAAAAACTGAACTAGCCCAGAATGAGGAACTCAGGCACTGCCTAGCCAAGAAGTAGAAAGCTATCTTCCCAAGGCATACCAGTCTCACAAATGCTGCACTCAGCTTTTCAAACAGCAGAATTCCCCAAAGGCTGTGGGCTTAACTATTTGTGCATACTGTATTTTGGAAGAAACATTTATCAGCGTTGAATTAGGCCACATGACACTGCAAATGCAGGACCTTTCTAGAACCCTCAAATACCAGAATTGGGCTTTTCTAGATGGAGGAATTCATAGCTCTTGGCTTAAGGTGCGTCTGGAAACTAAATGGTTGGTCACAGAAATTAGCTTGAAGCATATGAATATATGATTTTGATAAGTGTCTGGTTAAAATTCTGCTTAAGTCAAAGGAATAAAGAGAACTTCATTTAAAATAATTATGTGATATACCTACTTGTCACATCCTTTAGGTAGAATTACAGATTTAAAAAGCAGTAGACTCCAAAGGACAATAAAACTGTTTTCACAGCCCCTTTCACTCTTTTTTTTTGGTACCGGGGATCGGGATCAAACTCAGGTCCTTGCGCTTTCAAGGCAGGCGATGGAACCACTGAGCTAAATCCCCGGCCCCTGTCACTCTTAATATATGAGTGGCATACAGCCTGGATGATCAGTCCTCTACAGAGAAAATGAAGCCATTCCAACAACAGCACATGATTCAAAGAAGAAAAAAATATACATACTTTATCCCTAACACAGCCAAATTCTACTTCTGTGAGTCATCTGCGCGGGGGGGGGGCAGTACTAGGGATTGAACCCAGTCCTTTGCACTGACCTATACTCTCAGCCCTTCCTATTTTTCAGTTTTAGACAGGGTGTCCCTAAGGCACTAAATTGCCTAGAGTGGGTTCAAATTGTGATCTTCCTGCCCCAGCCTCCCAGAGTCCTGGGATTGCAGTTAGGCAGAGAATCAGAGCCTAGGAGCTCTGAAGCTCCAAAGGAAGCATCGGCTTTTCAAGGGGCCCTACTTGCCAATCCTCTCCGGCCCCACCTTGCAGGGAAACCAGGAGTACAGACGTCAGCTGGAGTGGAGCGTACACTGGGAGGCAAATAGCTCTCAGTTACAAAAACCGGGGAAGAGCTCCGTCTTCTTTTGTGGAGCAGTAACAAAAACAACAAAGCACATTAATTTAAAATAACTTACTGTCTGAACAATTTCATGCAAAATCCAGCAGTTTTTAAATATACCATACCTAAGGAAAAAAAAAGTTAGGTCTGAAATATGTGATGTCACTGACAATTTCCCTACAAAAATTAGGGAAGACAGTCTGTTAGCAAACTCTGATCTCAATGAACTGAAATGTAATTTTACAATCAGCCTATATATCAAGAATCTTACACACAGAAAGCTGAACTTAAAACTTAGGAAAGGAGAACTTGTTAAATAATTTTGTTGGACAGGGGAATATAGTAACAGCTAAGATAGTGTGTCTGTTTATAAGGTCAGTGGTAGATTAAAAAAATCTTACCCTAAACTCAAATGCAACAAAGAAACTACCACCTTAAACACAGGCATTAGAATGTAGGTTTCTAGTCTGTTTCCACAGAGCTGTATGCTTGGAGCACTTACAGGATGCAGAGAAATGGAAAGGGTCACACCTCTCCAGCGTTGCCCTAGGTAATAAATATATGCAGGAACAGGGGCTGTCTTGGCTGCTGGAGGGGTATTTGGCAGCACATGGAGAAAGAAG